AGCCACAGGCTGCGCACCCGTTGACCTCGCTTATGTTATGGGTCACTACACGGTTGCCTACGGCACTACCGAGGAATGGGCGTGAAATTGGTTGTGTTGGTCGTAAGTGCACGCAACGAGCAGCGAGTCACTTACCTGGTCGCGCGCGCATGCACCTGACGGGGCTGCGCGGGGTAGCCGCCTGGGTGGCGTAAGGGTCTATCCCTTGTGGACTCTTGTGTAAGGATCTATCTTGCGGGTATCTTTACCCGTTGCGCCTTCCTCACTGGCGCGCTTCCGTGCTACCCAACTGTTCCCACCAGCGCGTCCTTGCAATTTTTATCGTGGCAGTGTGAGCCCCATCCGGACAGATCATTATGTCAGCAAATTTCACCGCCTAACTCGCAACCCCACACCGTTGACAGACAGTACTGGTACGAAACGAGTGAAAAAAAAGAGGTTCAAGGATGAAAATGAAAGAAAACTAACATGACATGTGCCGCCATACTTCAATATTTTTATAAGAAGCTCATGCATTCGTTTCGCTGCAGATGCAATGGCGCCTGGGTTTAGCGTGGCGCCAGCCTTCAATCACCAAAGGTTGAAGCGCACAAGCGGCAACACTTCGTGAAAAAAACCGCGCCAATCTTAGCCTTCCTGCTATGCCCAGTATCTGCAGAGAAAACAACTGTGGACAAACGAGAAGTGAGTCTGTGTCTTTTTCAAAAATCACGGCTGAAAAACTGACTGCTCGTCCTCGACTTTCAGTCTGGTCTCTTGCTCGTACGGGAACACATTGCCACATCCGAGAAGGAGACCACTGCAGCCCTCACGATATGTACGATAGCACTTGGTGAAGAGAGAGAACTGAGTGAAGCGACCAATGAAGACCTTCGCCTGGAAAGAGTCCGATCGTAAACCTAAGTCATTTCCAGTACAGATATTTCCTCACTCAATTCACTAATATTTTCCTATGAGAATATTGTGACTTATTTTTGTCCAACGACTCCTACAAAATAAAGTCGAATGAGCAGCGTGTTAGGATGAGGAATAACCTCTTGATCCCCCACCCCCCTCCCGATACGAAAAGCTTGATCAATCCCTTTCTGGGATGCAGCGCGCATCCCAGAAAGGGATTGATCAAGCTTCCACGCCCAGAATCGTAGTGGCTTATATGGCTTTTCAGAACCTGGCTGGCTCAGATAATCACTACGATTCCTCGACATCCCGGATACGTCAGGGGAAAAGAACACTGATCTGCTTCACTGGCCCCACAAGTCACTGTATAGGACTATGCGGCATTTTTTAATCGTCGTGGCTTATATAGCCCGCATTAAATACACTTGGAGGGGCCACCCGAAGCACACGCTGGCGTTCTATCCCTCAGACGAATCTGGTATCAATTCACCGTCCCTGGAGGGTAAAAGGAGTGGTTGGAATGAACGGAAGGCCATCCGCGACTGAACACGAGGACCACGCGCGTAGTAGGCGAGCCACTTGCCACCTCGTCATCACCTCCACCGTCGCCAACTTGATGAAAGACCGAAAAGTTGAAAAGTAACGCTATGAACCGTCTCTTGCAAAAACCTCCTACTAGCTTCGATTTTCTGATTTTGCCCAATATGTGAAATTTATCGTACTATTATGCGTTCTGATTTAGAGAGGGGTTGTACCAAAGTCTTCAATAGTATTAGTAAGATGGGAAATAGTGAGGTAGTGCAGTGGCAAGTGGCACACTTCCGGGGGGGATGGAGTCCCGGACCGGCTTCCGCCTAAGAGAACGAAGCCTTCAGTCCTCCGGTGAAGCTAAGTTGGTCGCACATCGCCTGGACCCTGCAAGTTCTTGTATAGGCCATATCGCATTTTATAAACCACTACGATTCTGAATGGAAGTAGTAATGCGTGCCGCATCCCACAAAGGGATTGACGAAGAGCGAGATTTCATCCTTTACCCTCCCATTACCAAAACTGGACTGGGAACAAGCTTCCATAGACCATTTGTACCTTATCTAATAGACCGTTTGTACCTTATCTTCAGAGCACAGCTTTCTGAACGTTGGAAAATGATTTGACCAATCCAACAGATGGACGATGTCTCGAGCCCAACTTCGGCGAAAGTTGTACAAATCCAGAAATTCCATAGGTTTCCAATTCCTCTGTAACGAAAATTGCGAGGGTATTTGGGGTTTTGAGAAATATATATGGTGAATACAGGAGTAGGAAACAACGCCTACCGTAAACCTTGGGCACTGCGGGCAAGTTTTCTCGATAAGCTGGGGTACAGTAGAATTGAGCATTCGATAAATGAGCAAATCTTCACCGGCACGGGTCACATCGCTTGAGTTCACCGAAGTGCTCTCACAGAACATAAAACGGATGAGATATACTTCATATCCTCAGGAAGAGATTCTTGATCTTACTCATTGCCAACTACTTATATTTTTACACTATTGAATTTGATCTAATTATTTTTAGTGGACCAGCGGCATAACAAAGGGCATTTGTTCACCCCGAACAATTTATTTTCCTCAAAAGCCGGTCTTCTATCGTGAGCTAACGAGGTCGCACGCTCATGTCGCACGCGGCCAGTTGCACAGCAATGTCAGAATTGCACTACCGTATCCAGGCGATTGTCGTTGGAGCAAGGAATTTGCTCTTATTCACGGCACACTCAAAAGGGTGGCAATGAGAGGGTTCCTTTTAATGAGTTAAACAGGCAGTAAGCTAACATAGATGGTACGCAAAGGCTGCGGCGTCACAGACCACCACCACCATCGCGGCGACCGATAGTATCGCCACATACCCTGCGACAGGACAATCGCAGTTTGGAGCGTGGCCGGCGAGTTGTCAGTCGTATGCGGCAACTGGATAGTTCGCAGTACTCGCGCGAAAGGCCAGTGCGCAGAGAAGCGGGGGACTGCGGCTGCAAGACATCAAAAGCTGGAAATAACATACTACCGAGAGCCAATGTGTAACCTTTTTAGGGGAAGGGGGGGGGGCTGAGAGATGGATAAGCCTCTTACCAGGCGTAAAACTTTGAAAGTGTGAGGTCACTGTGTCCAAATCAGATCAGTGAGCGGAGAGAAAAACGGAAAGTTGGCGCGATTAAACGGATTGTATTCGATTCGGCGACGGGGGGGGGGGCATTTTGCACCTTTGCTGCTTCACTAGTTCCGGTTTACAAGTCTCACTCTGGTGAAACCTGTGAACTCTTGTGAAGCTGGAGCAAGCTCGTCAAGCCATCATGGTAAAACCTGTCAACTCGAGAAGAGCTGTCTAGATGGGTCGACACGT